GTTCTCAAAATAATGATAGGAGCACGAAGATACATCATATTCTCTAAAAATGTTACCCAGAAAAATAATTTAATTCATATATATTTTAAGATTTTATTAACTATTTTTCTTCTTATTATGTGTGCATGTCTATTATAGTAATTCAATATACTCAGACATTTCTGATAAAGAATTATAACGAGTTCGAGCTCTGAATGCACAAAAAATATTAAATAAATAAACTGAGTATGAATTACATAGAAATATATAGATCTACCAAAAAAAGCTCATTTATTCTCATTCATTCATATTACAAAGTTTATTCACATTACATTTTTAATTATTATTAAAATTCATTTTATTCATATTGCATTATTAATTGAACGGGATTCCATTACAAACTTCCTGGCAACGAAAAGCTTGTAAAAAATTATTTCATATTTATTGAAGAATTTCTTTCTTTTTTTCGAAGTGCAGATAAATTTTATTAAAATTGTTAATCATTCTTGTGCACATCCTCTTACTTCAGCTTTGTTTCAGCAAATATAAGTATTTGAACCTCACCTGAAATCTTGAAAACCTGTATTAGAAAAAACTTGCACTATTCAAAATTGTAGAAATTCTAGTTATCTTGCTTATGTTGCTGGAGTGAAATATAAATTTGTTATAAAATTCCTTACTTAAAATATATTTGTGAATTGGTAAGCATGAAATTTGACACTAAAGTCAACATGCGCAAAACAATCTAGCTTCGTCTTTTGTTACAGATAATCTATTCAATACGTAGCAGCTTATTACACAACATTGATATGATCAATTGTGTCTTCTTATATTAGGGCGATGAAACAAGGTGTTAATTGCGAATAGGTTCGGCTTAGTTTAAAAATAAGTAAATAAATATAACAAATAAATGCAAAGTTAATAGAAATTTCAAAAATCTGAAGGCTTTCAGATTTTATATTAAGCCCAAAGAGGCTTTTTTTACCCACTTATACATACACGTTTCAAGAGAATTTGAGCTAAAGCTCCTTTGGGATAATAATATTTTAAAACAGCATATCTTTAGAATTTCCGGTTGAAAGCTTCGCGCTATGGGAAAGAAAATACTTTGTTCTATAATGTGTGTGGCACTGCTCGCCTTGAGTCTCTTAATGAAGAATTTGCTAAAGGTTAAAGAATATAAAATAGATAATAAAACAAATACGAAATTCAAGATTCTGGCTTCAGAGTGCCCATATTCGGGTGGATAACTACGTTATTCAAAATGGATGACTCTAGATGTTATTCGTTTTTCACAATGCGAGAAACATACATACATTCATCTAGATTTTTCATTATTTAAGTTCTTTAAATGTAATACAGGACGATAATATATATTTGGTGGCAACAATTTGAAAAGTAATATAGCCATTTACGATGATTCGATGGAAAGTGCCGTTTCGAGACTTTTGCTTTTCTGAGCTAAAAATAAACAAAAATCTCTCTAATACCCGAGGAGAATTTTTCGTTCTCTCTTTTTATATATGTGTGTAAGGTAAAATTCTGACTTTAAATAATATCATTACTAAAACCTGTTTAGCACATTTCTCATTACTAATGTATAAACTTCTTTCAGGTTTCAAACATTAATATTAAATATTTAAAAATCATATTGCAATTTCCTTTCGAAACCTCGAATAAAACTCGTATATCTTCGATGTATTTATTGCTTTCAAATTATTATAAAATCTTGTGCGTGATAAACAGTTTCTGCAAAACGAAGATACTTAAAACCCTTTGTTTATCTTTTGTATTATGAAAATAGGTTGTTCAACTTAATCTTTTTAAAAGCTCAGCGTTATCATTTTGAAAAAGGGAAATTTTTAAGAATATTTTTTATTAAGTTTTGTTCCATATCAGGAGTAAATAAATAAGTTAGCTTTTAATACGTTTAGTCGAAGGCACTATATAAAACTTCGCTGGTGAGTTATAATGCTGGGTGAATCCAAATTAAAATCAAATGTTTGTAATGAGATTTTAATGTATTCATCAGTAACATCTGCCTATATATTTCTATTTGAATTTTGAAATATATATATATATGTGGACATTCGCTCCTACAACTCAACCGCCTTTTCCTAAATCTGGCAACAGCTACAGCAGCGAGATACTTCTTCAAGCTGCGTGAGGAAACGGACAGACTTGCATTCCGATGAGGTTATGACGTGGCGTTGGATGTAACTGAACTATGCTGCTCGACGTGTTGCTTGATGATATAATTCCGTTTCATGATGAATAGAACTTTTTTATCTTACTTCCTTTCACTGTGTACATACCATAATCATGTTTATTCTTTCATTATTAAATACCCTTAAAATGCCACTGCCTTCCTCTGTTTTAAACCTAACCTCATCCCACATGGGGACTCGGCCCCGTGAACATTTTCAACCCCTTAAACTAAAATCTGTTCTTCTCTTCAACTTTTTAAACCCCCTAGACTACCATATAACATACCGAGTATAACTATAAATGATGGACTACTTTGGAAACCTGTGGAATAATATCGCAAGATTCCAGTTGTTGTGATTCATCAGCACGTAAGTAGAGCTAATTTTATTTGATGAAGTAATGCTAATCAGGAAGTAATATTCTTTCAAATTATGAATATTTGATGATGTATTTTTATGAAGTTTATTTGAAGAAGCGAAAGGCATTTGATTTTGATGAAAATTCATTTTGTTTTTAAATGATTATTACTTTGAAGAATTAACACTTCCGTTTTCGAATTTGATGTTGATGATAATTAATTAAACAGTTTTGATGAAGTTTAATTGAATAAACTAAAGGTATTTGATTTTGATGGAAATCCATTGCCGATTATTTAAAGAATTGTGATGTATTAAAAAAGTTACTTTGAAGAATTACTTTCGTTTTCGAATTTGGTGCATAAATTTCTTATTTCTTGTGATGCCTATATTTTACAAGGACTGTACAATATTATTTGAAGTTATTAATTTTGATATCATATTTTAACGTGAAATTCTATTTTCCATTCTTAACATAGTCTTATATGAAGATTTGTTTGACGATATATTTTACCATTTGTTTGAATCATATGTTCACAATTTCATTTATGATTTTTGAGTGTTTTAACATCATTATTGTGTAAGAAGAATTAATATTATTGCGAAGAATACGAAACATTAAAAATATACTTTTGTGAATATGATAATTTGGTAAAAACGAAAACTGATAAATAATGCCTACACTTAACGATTATCCCAACATTGCACAGTCATTAAAAACCGCCAGTACCAAGCATATCAAGCTTTTACATCGTTTAGTTTTTGGCTCAGATGGTGATCGGCAGAAATCGTGCTAGGTTACGCAATTTTTCTGGTTTTCCCAAACCATTTAACTTTGAAAGATACGAAACAAAAAATTATCAAAGAATTTTCTCTCACAGATTTAATTGCCATATGTAGCGTACTGCATTTAGAATTTTCCACCGATATTGAAAACTGTGCTAACAATATTCTTACGAATCTAGCTGATGTATCGTTATTAAAATCAGATTCCGCTGACCACAGCGACCTTGAAGAAGAAGCTTTGGTGCAAAGTTCACCCTCGACGCATAGCGTCGCCCAAACAGAACCATTAATCACAGCTCCAGATGAATCTTTATGTAAACAAATGGGAGGCAAAAATCTCTCTTGAAAGTGCGCCTGCAAATTTATTGCTCAACTAACCCGCAAACACAGACTGTTCCGTTTCAATGTTTTGGCTTAAAAGACATTGTTGATTTGATCAAACCCTTTTCCTCTCGGGATAATTACAGCGTTGAAACTTTTATTTCTGACATAGAAGATATTTTTAATCTCTATGAGATCACGAGTCCTGTACACCAAGTAGTTTTTGTTAAAAAATGTCTTACAGGTCCAGCTTTAGCTTTAATAAGATCAATTCGTGGAATTACTAATTGGGAACAATTAAAAGACTATTTATTAGATGAATTTTCGGATAAAATTAATAGCCTTCAATTACATAAAATAATGGGATCTCGTCACATGAAACAATTTGAAACTTTACAAGAATATTTTTTAGCTATGAGAAACCTCTCGCACAAAGGTTCTATGGATAATTCTTCTTTGATTGAGTATGTTATAAATGGTATTCCTGATTCATCAAACAACAAAATAATTTTATACGGTTGTAAATCCATTCCTGAATTTAAAGATAAAACTGAAGATTTATGAAAAACTCTTTAACAGTTCAAGACATTCGAAGCAAAATACCCCAAAGAAATTTACAAATTCCTTTCCCAATGTTAAAATTGATGCTATGCGTACATCAGACACTCAACTAGTATGTTATTCCTGTGGTCTAAAAGGACACAAACGCATTAATTGTACAAATAAACCTAACAACAAATTCTGTTATGGCTGCCAAATTATGGTCACATTCATTCCAACTGTCCCAAACGATCTGGTACTTCTACCTCGGAATCTCTAATTCTACATCTGATAGTACTGTAAATGCACTTTCTACTCAAAAATTTTCTAAACATCCTATGCATGTTGATATTCAACTTAAAGAAGCTCAGTTAACTGCTGTCTATGACACTGGATCACAAGCAACACTGATTAATGAACAAGTATACCGCAAAATTGGTTCTCCACCATTACATCCTTCCAGAATTACATTTTCAGGAATTGGCCGAGACACAGTTCAAAGTATTCTTTCAGGACTACATTCAAATTGAAAACACTATTTTACCTGCTAAAATCCATGTAGTAAAAGACTATATGATTCCTCTTGATGCCATTATTGGAATAGACTTTTTGCAACAAACTCGATTTACATTTGATAAAGATGGTATTCATTTATGCAGCAATAATAATGATCAAATTTTTGTTAATGTTGCTAATGTTACTCATGATCACACATTTCCACCTGATCTTTCACACATCTCAAAATCGGAAATTTTCCAAGAAGTTCAACATATCATTACTCCTCACAAACCACACGAAGTTAACACTGCTATGGAAGATTTTCAGAAAATAACAGAAAGCGAAAATCAGTTGAAGAAAACAAGTAAGGAAAATGATGATGCTGCACATGACGATTTAGAATTGGATTTAGATGATGACAATTTGGATTTGGATGATCACGATGACAAAGATGATGCTGATACCAATCATGGAGCTCATGACGATGATATTGATGATGATGATGGCACTCCTGGAGCTAATGAAGGTGGTGATAATGATGTTGATCACGATGACATTGCTGTTGTTGATGAAGGTCATGTCAATGAAGTTGATGTTGATGACAACAACGATGATGCTGATGACAGTCATGAGACTAATGATGATGATGATGATGTCGATAATGATCTAAAAGTGCAGAATAATGAAGAAACTGCGACAAATAAACTGAATCAATTTGAACATGCATGTGCTGATCAAGTAAACGACAAAACACCTTCTAAAAGTGCATAAATTCCCAAAGAACAGAAAAATAATCCAAGGAAACTACTTGTCTCTGGCATTCCAGTTGAAGCTTTTGAGGCAACAAAGAATGCTGAAATACTGGGAATCAAAATTACTGTTTCATACATTTTATCTGCTTCACACCCAAAGATACGCAAGAAGAAAGCCTGAAAGTGTAAACGAAGAAAATTTAAACGAACTTCAAAGACAATGAAATTGCTGACACAGCATGATGATGAAAAAGCTGCATTCTGCACTGAAGTTCAACGGAACCTGCTCCGTTTACAGCAAGCACATATACGACAGTATAAGAAACGTCGCAAACCTGCCTGCAAATACAAACTTGGACACCAAATGCCAATCCAGCCTGAAATGAAACTTGCACTTCGACTTGAACTGAAACTTGGACTTGAACTTCGTCCCAAATTCTTCGGTCCTTATGAGACAGTACATCCCTCTGATTGTTACGAAGTACGAAAGATACGCCTTGAAGGAACCATTAGGATATCAACCTGTACTGATAAGATGAACTGGTGGTGCACAAAGCTAACATTCGCCACCTGGACATTGATTTTTTTCACTTTCTCTGCTTTTTTTTTTCCCTTTCTTTTCAGATCAACCCCCAGGCGAGGACGCCCGTCAAGGCAGAATGGTCATGTGGACATTCGCTCCTACAACTCAACCGCCTTTTCCTAAATCTGGAAACAGCTACAGCAGCGAGATACTTCTTCAAGCTGCGTGAGGAAATGGACAGACTTGCATTCCGATGAGGTTATGACGTGGCGTTGGATGTAACTGAACTATGCTGCTCGACGATGTTGCTTGATCATATAATTCCGTTTCATGATGATTAGAACTTTTTTATCTTACTTCCTTTCACTGTGTACATACTATAATTATGTTTATGCTTTCATTATTAAATACCCTTAAAATGTCACTGCCTTCCTCTATTTTAATCCTAACCTCATCCCCCCCCACACACATATATGTATATATATATATATATATATGCTTAATTTTTTTTAATATTGTTAAACAGAAAATAAGTTTATATATAAACATATTAAAGTATGTAATTTATAAAAAATCTGTTTGTGGGAACAAAATTAAACCTGATTTAGAATGTTAAACTTGGCGATTGAAAATTTGTGAAAATTGATGACTGATCTTCAAAGCATTACTTTGTTAAAATTTCTAATGTTTAATTGTCGAAAGCAGACTTATCGGAAAACTATATCAATGTGCAATATTCTTCAAAACTAGCGATAGCTTACTCCAAGGTATATATTAATTCATATTCAACAAACGTTTTAATAGAAAAGACAGGAGAAAAGAATTATTTATATTTGCTAAATTTATCATTAGTTTAATAAAATATGCAAATTCAATTTCAATAATTAATTCTGACCGACTTGTTCTAAGTGCGTTATTAAAATACACCCAAACACTTAATACGCTTGTAGGCCCCAAAATATAAAGCGACTGCTATAATCCATACTTTGTCTCATAAATTCTCAAGATACGAAACTATATTTACCTAGTTTCAAATATATGTTGATCCCATAGATTCCCTAATAATTACGCACTTTGAGACCCCTAATGAGAATCAAATGCAAGGCTTAACATGTGAAACATTTTTATTCAATATTTAAATTAACATAACTATATAACAGTTGGCCACACTTCTTATTGCAGAAATATTTTTCAAGAATTATGTTCAAGTCATTCCAAGTGCTTTAAAATATTATTTTTTCTCCCATCAAGATATAGTCTACTCCGATTTGACCCGAAGCAAAAAATACTGCATTTCATGCATTCTTTATTTGTATTATAAGAAAATTTAATGATTTACATTTGTAAAATTAATTTATTATTATTTTTTTATATATTGAACTTACTTTAGAATTTATCTCATAAATATACTGATGAATTTAAATTCATTTAGGTACAACTCAGAAACATGGCACAGTTGAAAATTTGTCGCCTGCTCCTTAAAAATACCAAAGAATTTTCAACTCTGCTTCTTTTATTAAATTACTTTATTATATTAATTTTATTTAGCTAATTTATTGAATTGCTTTTTGTTAGAATTTTGATGAATGTCTTTCTTGTTATATTACTAATCACCAAAATTTATTTATTTATTTAATTATTATATCTTAATTATTTTGTTAACTTCACAGCATACTCAGCGACTTCAGGGATTTCTAATTTTAAGTTTGAAATTTCTATTTTCATTCTTGGTATAGATATACATATATGGCAAAAATACAAAGTAAATATAAGTTTAAAACCTTAAACAGGTCTGTGCTGAAAGCAACAAGTATTAAATTGCAAAATAAATTAAAAAGTTTACATATAAAATCCATCTCATGTTTCAAAATGCCAAAAAAACATATGCCAAAAAAGAAACAGAAGCACAGCGCAAGCTGCATGAACAAAAAAATTTCCAAAACTATAAATGAAAATTGGAAAAAATATACGCCTTTTGCTGCATCTTCATCAGAGGGTTAGTGCAATAAAAGAAAAATGTATAAATCTGCCCCTGAACTAGACATAAATTAAAATTTAGTACTTAAAATAATCTTTACAAATTAATCAACGTAATTTGTGTTTTATCAGTGCATGCCTCTATAGGCCGTAATAAGTAGTAAAAAATTTGTAAAATTATTAAAAGTACAGGGTGATCAAAAAGTCAGTATAAATTTGAAAACTTAATAAATCACGGAATATTGTAGATAGAGAGGTAAAAATTGACACACATACTTACAATGACATGGGGTTTTATTAGAAAAACAATAATCTGATCAGAAAAGCAATAATTAGCATAACAAATTAAGACAAAGCAAAGATGATGTTCTTTACAGGAAATGCTCAATATGTTCACCATCATTCCTCAACAATAGCTGTAGTCGAGGAATAATGTTGTTAACAGCACTGTAAAGCATGTCCGGAGTTATGGTGAGGCATTGGCGTCAGATGTTGTCTTTCAGAATTCCTAGAGATGTCGATCGATCACAATACACTTGCGACTTCAGGTAACCCCAAAGCCAATAATCGCACGGACTGAGGTCTGGGGACCTGGGCGGCTGAGCACACGATCATCACCAAACGACGCGCGCAAGAGATCTTTCACGCGTCTAGCAATATGGGGTGGAGCGCCATCCTTCATAAAATCATACATTTTTTAAACTGTTTTTTTGGTTCTAATAAAATCCCATGTCATTCTAAGTATGTGTGTCAATTTTTACCTCTCTATCTACATTATTTCGTGATTTATTAAGTTTTCAAACTTATACTGACTTTTGGGTCACCCGGTATATCAGAATCAAAAACAAGCTTAAAAAAGGTATTATCTATCTATTTATTCTTACGTTGAGCAGACCGAGACCAAAAAACAAAGCATTCAAATGCAAGGAATTCAACACGTGGGAAAATAATGACATTTGGGAATTTCAAACCATAAAGAACGGAATAAAATATTTTCAAACTTATAGCCTCAAAATTATAAGAGAACAAAAAGAAAAATAAAACTAATAAAAATTGTTTTCTATTTAAGAAGGCCGTGTTAAAAAAATGAAAACAAAAGCAATCCAACATAAGAAAAAATATTAAATGAAATATTAACCCCCCCAAAAAATAAAAAGAAAAAGAAGGGTTAGTTCTTAAATTCTGTAACATCAGAGTAACAAAAGTTTAGAAATTTAAATAAATATGAATTGAACATGCCAGTAGAAAAGGATTGTTTTTAAGCTTAACGCGTGTTAAGTAATGAAATTAGATAAACTACGAATTTTATTCTAGTTAATAACAATAAAAAATGATTTTAAAAGTTTCTAAAGTAACATTAAATACGGTATAGCAAAAATCTATAATTCATGAAATGAAGAAACATCGAATTACCTGGATTATAAATTCGAAATGTAACTCCAATTGTTACCCACCTAATCTTAAGTTATATTTTATTTCTGATCAGTAGGTTGAATGGGAACTGTACTAGGACAATTAAAGTCTTTAAATTCAGCAATCAATATTTATTTCGATTGCGAAAATGTTTGATATGTCAAATTCCACTATTTCATTAGAGAAATTAGATTTTATATCATTTAGTCTATTGGGACTCACTATAATTAATATCATTACTAACTGACAAAGGTTAGAGGGCTTCACATATTGGGTTACAAATTTTTGTAGCTGTGGGAAAAAACAGCTTCCTTTACCGTCTGGACCAATTTTCTTATTCCGAGATAGCCTGACATTGATGCATCCCGCAGTTGCAGTAAAATACTCAAAACTTGCTGAGACGATTGACTTTATTTCATTATTATTTGTTGCTTTGGAGCAGAAAAATGGTTTTCAATAATTTCATAATATGCAGCTCTGTTCTAATACCCATAATATCATGGTGATCAAAGTGGATGGGATTTTCAAATACCCAGAAATATTTTTAAGTTCCCTGTCTGTTTTTATTTCTGAGATAACTGTTTCTTGTGAATCTAAAATTTTTCAAGGTAATGTTGCGCATTTCACTTCCTTCCCTCATTCTCTAGTTGAATTTTGATAGAGCACCGGCTACAAAATTTTCTTTCCCGTGAATACGTTTAATTGTTAAATTGTATTCTTTATATTTAATTGTCCATTCTATGAATCTGGACAATTCTTCCCGAAATACAGACGAGGGACGGAATACAAATGCATGATATCTATGTACGGTAACCGGAAAATTTCCAAAATAAACTCGAAATTTTGGATGTTGTCAAAACAACTGTAACGTGTATCTTTTGGTCACAGCGTACTTTGCGGCTATCCGTCTTGTATAAGCAACTGCAAAATCTTATGCATCTTCGAAGATTCCTAATTTTCTGTCAGCTTCAAAAAAATTCGAGACAGGAGCTTGGATTAATGCCGCTTTTAAATCTTTCAAACGCCGTGTTTGCTTCTGCCGATCAAGTGAACTTGATATTTTTTTAGAATTTAATAGTGTCTTTGCTGTAAGCAAAATCTCTTAT